CAGTAAAGCTGTGTGGTTGTTACTGCACAGGTGTAATAAAACATTATGCTGGTGGATAGATGACCCCTCACTCATTCTCATCTCATCAGTCCTATGTGAAAATGTTTGGTCAAGCATTTTGTAAATACAGAATTTCAAAATCATAGAAGTAGATGAATGCTTACTTCCATGGACAGTGGACTCCATCTCCCTGTGCCAATTTGCGAGTTACACAGGTTGCTCTTTCCAGACCAGTACAGAGTTTAGTTTGCTTTTCTCTTTTCCTTCCCTGAATCCCAAGAAAGTCACCATCTGTACATCCCGTCCAAACTCATCTCTTCTCTTCTGCTCTTTACTGGCCATTGACACTCAGTAGGGAGTTGTCTCCCTGACACTGAGAGCATTGCCTCTTCCTCCTCCAAAGGAAAAGGTGGTCAAACTTAGCCCTACTCCTCGGGCTTCTTTCTGTTCTCTGTGAAGAGCTGTGCCAAACGACTTCCTGAAGGAAAAGCTTCAGGATTGGAGAAAGCAATATTTAATAAAGAATATAGGAAGGAAGGGCACACACACACACACTCAGAGCACACAAGCACATACATGCACACACACACACAGAGCACATGAGCACATACACACACACAGAGCACACAAGCACATACATGCACATACACACACTCAGAGCACACAAGCACATACATGCACATACACACACTCAGAGCACACAAGCACATACACACACACACAGACAGAGCACACGAGCACACACACCCCCTTGGGATGTGGGGAATAGAAACCCAGGAGGACTTGATTTGTTTATCCTTACTAAATAATAAACATACATGATAATAATTAACATTTTTTAGTACTTAAAATATGCTTGACACTATTCTAGATATGTTTCATTTTTCACAACACTCTTATAAGATAAATACAATTATTAATCCTGTATAATTGATGAGAAAATTGTGGTATCAAGTAGTGTTCAATAACATACTCAAGGTTACACAGGTAGTAAGTGGTAGAACCAGGACTCAACTTGTTTAACTGCAAAATCCTTATTCTGAATACTTTATGACAATAAAATTAAAGGAGATAACAGCAATTCTATTATATACACATATACCCACTGCACAGATCATGCTGTGAGTATTGTAACCCTAGTTAATGAAACACTAGTAGTTATTCATGTTTCCAAAACTATGGAATCTGGCCCTTAGCAGGGCCGGTGTGAGGTCCCTTGATAGTGACGTCCTCAAACTGCTGTTGCATGTATTTTCCACCCTAACCTTTTGGTGATTGATATTCTGTGTCCTGGCTCCCGCAGGGAGTTATGATGGAGAAATTGTTCTGTGGAACAGCAGCACGGAGAACGCT